TTGGTTGAGCCTCTTCCTACCTTCTGCCCTCCCCTGCCCTTGCCCACTTAAACCATTCCACCACCAGTATTACACACTTCTACTTTCATGTTGCGTGTTCAGTTACCTCCACCCTTCCTCTGAAAGCCTTACCCCCACTCCCAGATTCCCTTCCTAATTTCCCAAGCTCCAAATGCACATAATTAAAAACAAGAGGCTAGAGTTCACATGAGAGAGCACATGCAGCGTTTGTCTTTCTGAACCTGTGGGGCCTTACTTAATATCTTTTCCAGTTCCATCCATTTTCCTTCAGATTTTCATCATTTCAGGTTTCACTGTGACTGAATAAAATTCCTTTATGTATATGGACTACATTTCACTGTCTTCAGTTGATGGACACCCAGAATGAGTCCATTTCCTTCTATTGCAAATAGAGGGTCAATGAACATAGACATGTCAGAACAATACGCTTCAGCTTGTGGCTCAGTGGGTAAAGGTGTTTGTGTGAGGCTCCGGCAGACTGAGTTTGGGCCCCAGATCCTACAAAGTGGCAGGAGAGACTGACTTAAGAATTGTCCTCTAGCCTCTACATGCACACCGTGGTGCATACAGTTTTGCACCCTCAGACACATTTTTAAGTAAGCTTTCTGTTACTCAGGAGATCAGAGACTGTAGAAGCATAACATAACCAGAAACCCCTGGGACACAACCAACCGAGCACTGAGTGGAGTTTCTCTCAGGAATGCCCGCATCAGAAGACAGAAGAACCAAAAGTAAACAACATAATGATGCACCCCCAAGGTCTCACAGAAGCAAGCATGAACCACATCCCAAAATGGTAGAAGGAAAAAATGCAAATCAGGGCTGAAGTGAAGTCAAGTCCGGGGCACAAGGCAAAGAGGCTGTGAGACCAGACGACCCGAAGGACAAGCCTTATCTGCAATAGCCAGTGAGGCAGATGAGGGGAGAGGAGGAGACAAGAATCAAAGGAACTAAATATAAGAGTGCACTGGTGTCGGGGGCAAGAAGGCCCTTGTGCTCACAGATATGAACTAGGGGAGCCTGAGATGATAAACACACAAGGTTGTTCCTTCAAGGGAAGGAATGCAAAACCTGTTTTCTACCCAGAAGGCTGGTGACCTTTGTGCAATCTGTGTGGCAGAGACTTTTGGGCATCAGACCCTTCTCTAGATCCTTCTTGCAAATTTATTTTCTCAATCTGTGTCACACGTACTTTACAAAGAGTCTTGACAGAGTCACATCTGATCACTTTGTTCCTCAAAGTGATTTGCTGTGAATGTGGGATTGAATTGATCATCACAAGTTTTCACTTGTGATGCTGCGTTTAAATACACCTAAAATAAATAGCTCAGGGTCAGACTTCCAAAGTTTGAACCAACACCAGCTACTAGTCATGTGTGCCAAACTGCCTTCTTGCCTCTCATGCTGCCCACAAAGGCCAGAGACCCTCGAATACCGTCAGGTTCAATCACAGGGCTGAGAAGGTTAGAAAGGTTAGAAAGCAGGAAAGACAGGTGCTGAATACTCCATTCTGAAAAGCAGGGGCCAGGATGGAGGCAGTGAGATAAGCCTAACCTCACTGGCCTGGAGGACACATGGGGCACAATGGCCCAGCTTAACAGGATCCCTAGCAGGACAGAGGGGAAAGCAATGAATGAGTAGGGAAAATACATGAAGAAAAATGAGAGAGATTAATAGCAGGACTGAGGTTCCCCAGGCTGCAGAGAAGCAAGTTAGCATTAGAGAGGGACAGGTTTTTTGTTTGTTTTTTACACAATGAAGGCACTATGGGGCTGGATGGCCATGAGGACTGCACACTGTGAATGTGTGCAGTTCCATCGAAATGTGCCCTTTGTAATTAAGATGGTAATGCTGAGATATACTCTACTCCAATAGAAAATAGTTGAAGTATTTCCAGAAATTACTGAAAACCTTCCCAAATGTAACAGGACTTCTGGAACTTTGTGTCTAAGAAGTACAATGAAGAAGAAATTCAAAGGTCACCAAGGTTACCACAAGACAAGAACAGAGGGTGTTAGACACTCACTTGTCACCTGAACCTGAGGCCGGGAGGCAATGGGGCGGCGCATTTAAAGGATTTTAGTTTGAAACTCCTCGGCCAGTGCTGTTCTTTGTTACCACGGCTGTCACTCCAGCCTCAGTGTCACACTCCTAATCTGTATTTCTGGTACCTTGCTGGCTCTGGGTTCTGCTTGCACTTCCTTTTCCTGGTTCCTTGAGGTGTGAGTTTAGATGACTGGTCTGGGCTTTTCCTTCGTGACTACGAGTTTTCCTCTTGTGCTGTTTTGGCTGCACCCCAGCTTGGGTTTGTTGTGTTTTCATTTTCATCTTCCTCTTGTACCTTCCAGCTTCTTCTGACTCCTTTGCTATTCAAGTATGCATTCTATTTCTACAGACTGGCGAACTCTCCAGATCTCATTCCGTTTTGATTTTTGTTTCTTTCTGTCATGGTCAGAAACGACACCTCAGTTGATCTCAACTATTTCAAATTCATGGAGACTCATTTGGCCCTAGCTGGGAGCTGGCCTGCACGGTGGGGAGAAGCCACTGCTGCTTGGCATGTTCTGTGTGGCTGTGCACATAACTCTCCAAGCCCTCTATGCCATGGCTTTCACCTGATTGTCTTTTTACTTTTTCTTTTAAAAACACTATACTAATAATGGCCTTCTGGCATTGACAGATGTCTGTGTACCAGAGCTGTTGAGTCCTTTCCTGTTCGTATATCTTGAGGTCTATAGGATGACAACCATGTGTTCTTGATAGGTTGATCTCTGTATTGATATTTAATGTCACTCACCATCTCCTAACTAATTTGACTGTGTAACACACCCTGTCATCTGGCTGCTCCAATCTCTGTGGTTACTGTTTACAAGTGTCTCTTCTCTCATTTTCATTAGTCTGTGACTCAGGGTCTAAAGTATGTGAACTGACCTGGGCCAGTGGATGTGACTTGACACGGCCACTAATTAAAAACCATCTGACCAAATAGCCCAGGGTCGATAGCTTCACAGATGAGTGACAGTACACTTAGAAAAAAATATGGCCAGGCATTGGTGGTGCATGCCTTTAGTCCCAGTACTCAGGAGGCAGAGGCAGGGGGATTTCTGTGAGTTCGAGGCCAGCCTAGTCTACAGAGCAAGTTCCAGGACAGGTTCCAAAACAATACAGAGAAACCCTGCCTTGAAAAACCAACAAAGAAAAAAAATTATGACCTCTTCTGCCACTGTTCTCCACCCACAAAACACAATCAAACTGACCCCAGCATCACAGGAAAGGCTTGTGCGCATGGCTGGGTGTCAGAAACACAAAGAAATAGAGAAACCAAACAGTGCAGTATATCACAGGGGACTGAGGGACTACACAGCCAACTCAAACATGCAAAAAAGATGCTCAGGAAAAGCCAACACCCTTTCATAGTAAAGAATAAGTCTAACAGAACTTCCTCACTGCAATGCTGGACATCCATGAAGCCCCATCCCTAACTCTTTCTAAGGTCAGGGACAAGGCAAGAATGTCCATTCCCACTTCTTCTACTCAACACTGCATTGGAGGTTACAGACGATACCATTAGGCAAGAAAAATCACACATTTACCAATGGCAAAGCCCTTGGGATCAAAACGGTGCTACTGGTGCAATGATGGGTATGTAAGTCAGTAGATGACACCAAATCACCCACTTCTTATTCTTTTTCTTTTATTATTTAGTATGTGTACACACTGTTCTGCCTGCATGTATGCCTGCAGGCCAGAGGAGGACACCAGCTCTCATTACAGATGGTTGCGAGCCACCATGTCTTTGCTGGGAATTGAGCTTTGGAAGAGCAGGCAGTGCTCTTAACTGCTGAGCCCTCTCTCCAGCCTCCCATCACCTGCTTCTTAACAATGATGCCAGGACATCCAGTGAGTGAAGAGTGCTTTCACAAATCATGCTGAGACAGTCAAGGGGTCACATGCTAATGACAACACTGCATTCTCATGCCACATCAAAACCAAACTTTAAATGGATCAAAAAGAAGAAAGCATCAAGGCCAATCTGCTGACCAAAGACAACTGTGGACAAAAGCACAAGGAACACAAGAGAAAAGAAATTAAACCACCCAAATTAAGAAAGCACCTACCTTATTCCTAGCACTTGGGAGGCAGAGACAGACAGATTTCTGTGAGTTTCAGGCCAGCCTAGTCTACAAAGCAAATTCTGGGACTGGGCTCTGTTACCCAGAGAAACCCTATCTTGAAGAAAAAAAAAGCATTGGGCATCAATGGACATTATTAGACAACCCTCAGAATACAATCAGTCCAGGAACCTGTTACCCAGAATCCACCAAGAACTCCATGACAGGAGAGACAATCCAATCAAGACAAAAGGACTGTCCAAATTAATTTTGTAGAAAGGCATAGAAGCCCCACTCTGCACAGCCAGGCCTTTGAACTGCTGAGCTCTGCTCCTGTGTTAGTTAGTACATGTGCAACTCTGCCATTGCTTTCTGGGGCTTGAGAACCTTGGATTGGCAGAGTGTCCTTGGAGCCCAGGCATCTAAGGATGTGGAGGACACTGAGAAGCAGAAGCTCTAGGTGGGATGCTCTGGCCACAGTACTGGTCTCTGATGCAGGAGAGAAAACTCTGTGATGGGCCCATCACCGCTCTCCCAGAGAGGCAGGACCACTCTCTGTGAAGGGGGCCAGAGAATACAATAGTCTTGTTGTTCAATGCCATAACCAGGTACCCTTGCAGGTGGCTACAAGGTAGAGGGCACAGGGTCAGCCCAGGAAAGCCATGCTTTTCCTCCAGATGTGCCTATTTTTAGGGCAACCAGCCCAGCAAGAGTTTATGACTGAGCCCTGGGCACCCTCTAGACTGAACAACAAGGAAAGGGAAGGGCACAGAGCAGCAAAACACACCTGAGAGATAAAAGCCCAGAGCACCTCTCTCACACAACACACTCACTCAACACTCAGTCACTCAACACACTCATACGTTCCCAACTCCATCCAACTCCACCATGGCTGCCTCCACCATGTCTGTCTGCTCTGACGCTTGCACCAACTCCTCCTGGCAGGTGGATGACTGCCCAGAGAGCTGCTGTGAGCCCAGCTGCTGCCAGCCCAGCTGCTGCCAGCCCAGCTGCTGTACCCCAGCCCCCTGCCTGACCCTCATCTGTACCCCAGTGAGCTGTGTGTCCAGTCCCTGCTGTCAGTCTGCCTGCTGCATACCCTCATGCTGCCAGCAGTCTAGCTGCCAGCCCTCATGCTGTCAATCTTCTTGCTGTTTGCCTGTCTGCTGCAAGCCTGTCTGCTGCACACCCATCTGCTCTGGATCTTCATGCTGCCAGCAGTCTAGCTGCCAGCCCTCATGCTGCACCTCCTCACCCTGCTGTGTGACTCTTTGCTGCAAGCCTGTCTGCTGCACACCCATCTGCTCTGGATCCTCCTCATGCTGCCAGCAGTCTAGCTGCCAGCCCTCATGCTGTCAACCCTCCTGCTGTGTGCCTGTCTGCTGCAAGCCTGTCTGCTGCACACCCATCTGCTCTGGATCCTCCTCATGCTGCCAGCAGTCTAGCTGCCAGCCCTCATGCTGTCAGTCCTCCTGCTGTGTGCCTGTCTGCTGCAAGCCTGTGTGCTGCAAGCCCTGCTCCAGCGTGTCCCTACTCTGCCGCCCTGTGTGCAGACCAGCCTGCTGTGTGCCCACCTCCTCCTGCTGTGCCTCCTCCTGCCAGCCCAGCTGCTGCAAGCCCTGCTCCAGCATGTCCCTGCTCTGCCGCCCTGCCTGCTCCAGCCAGGCTTGCTGTGGCCTCTCCTTGGGACAGAAGTCCAGCTGTTGATCTTGAGTCTTCAACTGGGGTACTGTCGGGCACAGGGTGCTTCTGCACTAGTCATTTCCTTGACTACAGAGAACTAGCCATGGCCATCCAGAGCATGGTTGCTCCTGAGTCCTATCCTGAGGCCATTTAAGGAGCCCTACTGAGTCTTTGACTCCAAGTTGTAAATTTCCCAGCTCCAGAAGTCCTAGCCTCACTTGGGCTATGAATACATATATCCTGGTAAGCCTGCCTTTTGGGCCTGGGGAGATAGTTCCATGGTTGAGACCACATATGCTTTTGCAAAGGACCTGAGTCCTGTTCCCAGTGCACAAAGGGTTGTAATTCCTTTTTCATGGCATTTGCTGCCCTCCTCTGGCTTCTGTGGATAGCTGCACTCATTTGTACACACACACACACACACACACACACACACACACATGCGTGTGCACCTTAAAATAAAAATAAATCTTTAAGCTTGTCTTCTACTGACCTGTGTCTTATGTGTGGCAATGGGTGGATGGGCCAAGCTAGTTCAAGGGTACAGCCTGGCTCTTCTCAGAGTAGCTCTTTGGTATCTTGGTTAGGGATGTGGGGGAAAGCGATTACCAGGCAGCCATGGACCCCTGAGTCATACCTATCCTTCCCAGCCCCACAGATGCTCTTGAGTACTAATGTCCACTTGAGTATTACCCTCCTACCAGGAAGCTGCATCCCCAGCCTCCCCTGGGTGACCATCCCTTCATGGTAATACTCTTTCTGCCTCCAGCTTTCCCTGCAGCTTTACCCTCCCCAGGGTCCACATCTCGACCAGGGTATCAGCTCCAGCCAGAACTCTGAGACCACAAGAATGCCAGCCTCCTGCAGTCTTCTGGGTGTTCCTGCCAATCAATCCAGCCTTTCTGTATTCTAACACATTCCCTGCAGCTCTTCCAAGCAGCTTCCCCACACGGTGAAGAACTGATGTCCCTTTTTGCTGCCTGACATGCCAGATCCAATATGGTACCCTGCCCAAGTACAGGGATCACATGAGTGAATGCTAGGGACAGTGTGATGATTAATACTGCCAACTTGTCCCCTTCTCAGGCCAGAAGTCCAGCTGTTGACCTCAAGTCCTCATCTGGGTACAGTCCCCCACAGCCTGCTTCTCTACTACTCTAGATATTCCTACCCTTAGCCTTGACCACAGAGAACTAGCCATAGGCCTCCATAGACTCATATATTTGAATGCTCATCCCTAGGTGGAACTGTTTCAGGAAGGATTGGGAGGTGTGGCCATGTTGGAGGAGGTATTTCACTGGACGTGGGCTTTGAGGTTTTGAAAATCCATGTAGACTCAATCTTGGTGGACTGAGAGGAGGCACAAGCTCTCAGTTATTGTTGCAACAGCACGCCTGCACGCCCCCCTCCACCGTCCTGTCATGATGCTAATGGACTCACTCTCTGGAAATGTAATCAAGCCCCAATAAAATGCTTTCTTCTATAAGTTGCCTTGGTTGTGGTATCTCTTCACAGCACAGAACAGTGACTAAGACAGCATGTCTGTGAAGAAAATTTCTAGATTAGGTTGGGTTGATTGGGCGGGATTACCCACCCTGAACGTTGGTGGCATCATTCCATGGATTGTGGTCTGGGACTGGATTAAAAAGAGGAAGTGACCTGAGCACCAGCATTCCTCTCTCTCTCTCTCTCTCTCTCTCTCTCTGTGTGTGTGTGTGTGTGTGTGTGTGTGTGTGTGCGCGCGCACGCGCGCGCGTGTGTCTCCCTCTGTCTCTGTCTCTCTCCATATCTCTCTCTGTCTCCCTCTGTCTCTGTCTCTGTCTCCCTCCCCCTTTCTCTGTCTCCCTCCCACTCTCTCTGTCTCTCTCTCCCCCTCTCTCTGTCTATCTGTCTCTCTCCATCTCTCTCTGTCTTTTTCTCTCTGTCTCTCTGTATCTTCTCTCTCTCTCTCTCTCTCTCTGTCTCTCCTTCTCTCTCTCTCTGCTTCCTGGCTGCAGATGTACCTGACTAACTAGCTGCCTCACACTCCAGCCCCTGGACCATCCCCACTATGATGGTCTGTGTCCCCGGGGAACTCTACCATCCCCACTATCATGAGTGTGTCCCCAGAAACTCTGAGTCAGATAAACCTTTTCTTGAGTTGCTTTCCTGTCAGGTGCCTTTGTTAAAGGAACAAGAAGAATGAATATGCACTGGGTGACACCAGTCCCCAGTCCTCACCCACAGGACTCCTGCGTTCAGGGAGCCACCTCCCTCCCCTCACTCAGAAGACCACCTGAGATAACCACCAGGGGCATCCTGGAACCAGAGAGCAAATGACACAACCTCGCTCACTTTCCTGGGGGGCAAATCTATGTAGTCATAAATAAGAGATCCCAAAGGACCACGATGGACACATCCTGCTGTGGGTGTTGAGTGGCCAACTGCACTGGGGTCAGCCCCCAGCATAGTCTGTCCCTCTTTGGTGCCCCAGTGGCCATGGGGTTGGTGCAGAGCCTGGCAGGAGAGGAATCACGGTGACCTCTGACTGCCACCCTCACCTCTGCATGCTGACACTCAAAACACAGGGCTTCACCTGCCTAGTGACCTTTGGTGTGCCAGTCAGGAAGTGAGTCCCCTGTCTCCTGGGAGCCTCTTTCCTGGTGTGGCCACGTGGGAAGACAGCTTCCAAAGCTGTTAATCACAGGGTGAGCCTGGAGCTCTGCCAGCCCAGCCCTGGGCATCATCCTGGGAGGAAGGAGAACATCTGTTCACATGGAACCCCACTCAGGTCCTGACAACAGACAACAGGAAATTATTCAAATGTCCACCCTGACCCTGAACCCCAAAGCAATAAATAACAGTGAGAGATATAGCCAGTCTTTTAAATGGACCAAGGGAATTTTAAAAGCAAATATAATTAAACAAACACATCAAATGGGAACAGTAGTGAGCACATGGATTCAGAAGGTTTTAGTTTTAGGTACAATAGCACAGTGTGTGACTGACACATGAAGATTTTGATCTGATTCTTCAGGCATGGGCTCCGGTGGTTTTAAAGGTGTCTTCCATGGGAAGACCTTTCCCACAACATTTACTACATCCTGGAGCTGGGGCAAAGCCACGGGCTTCAGGACTGATCTAATAAGACTGCTGGATGCCTGGTGCTAAAATCAGTGGGAAGAAGCAGTCAGAGGGACAGAAAGACAGAGGGAGGGAACATGAAATACAGTAGGAGACCTGGGTAAAATGTGTAAGCCATTGTGTAAGCCATTACAGACACTCCTTAAAAACTTTGGTCACCCTACACCCCAGAACTCCATCTGTGTGGAAGCAACACCTATACCCCTGCACACCTTCAGCCACCACAGCACAACTCACCACAGCCAAGTGGTAGAGCATCAGATGAATAGGGGACAGGCTTCATCTTTAACAGGGAGGAGGCCCCGTCATTTGTGACAACAGGTTGAGTCTGGACGACATTGCACAAAATGAAATAGTCCAGGCACAAACAGCACATCTCACTGCCACACAAAGTCTAAAATGTCAGCTCACAACAGGTGGACCCAATCAACACACAAGAGTGAAACAGCCTAGTGCTCCAATCCAGAAACTGATGAACACACCCTGCATGGGGTCGGGCAGTCTGGGGAACAGAGGAGGGAGAGCTTGTAAATTCAAGGGGACTTTGCTGGAGTCACAGGGACATTCCATTCGCATCTCAAGACGGAACCATGCCTCTGTGACATTGAAGATTAAATGTCTGTAAGAAGTTAAACATTGGCAACGCTGAATGACAGACTCCAGTGACAGAATATGTCTGAAAATAAAGCCAGGATGATCTTGCAAGCAAGAATATGAAGGATAAAAGTGAGGAAAATGGGAGAATTGAGACAAGTTGAAGGCTCATACCAGAAGGAACAATGTCTAGAGTCACCAAAGGAAAAGCCAAGAAAGGAGAAATGGGTTTTAGGATAATCCTGAGATGAGAGAAGTCACACTGTATGCCTCAACAGACAACAAAGAAATACAGAGCCTGGAAACAGATATCGACATTCTAGAATAAGAGGAAGAAAGAAAACAACAGACAGAAGTTGAAAGAGAAAAGTGTCAGGAAGCTCCAGTTGTCTTTGTCCAAGTACAATGGCACCAAAATAATAGGCATCGTCACCTGGGCTTAGAGGTACACTGGCTCAAACCCAGAATTTTTGTTTGTTTGATCAATTGGATTTTTGTTTTGTTTTATTTTGTTTTGTTTTGTTTTTGTTTTGTCATATGAGACAGGGTTTCTCTGTATAGCCCTAACTGTCCTGGATCTCATTCTGTAGATCAGGCTAGCCTTGAACTCACAGAGAGCCACCTGGCTCAGCCCCTTGAGACCTAGGATTAAAGGCCACCACTGCTGGGGTCCAAATCCAGAATTCTATACCCAGCTAGACTATCCTGGCAGGTAGGCAGTAGCTTCTGAAGTGTAGTCACTTCAGGATATGGAGTCTCTGGCCATGGAAACACAGCAAAATGAAAACAAAAAAGCTCAGTCTCCCTGGAAATCCTGAGGGAAGACACCACCCTGCCCGAGCACAGTCTCCCTAACAATGCATACATAGCTTCCTGTCAACAAGCCTCTGAATCAACTGTGTTGTATACTATTTGCATCTTGCTGACATTTTGGAGAGGGACAGGGGAGGGGGGCTGTCATTAAGTTCCCAAGTGAGTTGTATTATGTAAGATAAGTGTGTTTTTATTTTCCCTATGTTTAAAGCAATAATAATAATAATAGGTCCCAGCAGCTCAAGCACAAGATGAAAACCCCAGAATCTGTTTCCATGGAGCCCTGCTCACCTCCAAAACCTCTCAAGGGAAGTGGCTTCAAAAGTTTCCCAGGCCTTTGGCCAAGTCCAAACAAAAACAAACAGGGGTAAGGTATGCACACCACTGATGACCGGCACTAATGAGGGGGTCCAGCCAGCCAGTAAGCAGGAAGGAAAGCCTGAGAAGTTTCTCACCTGGACAACACCAGCCCAGAGTGGTATAAAAGCCAACTGCAGCCCCTCACACTCACACACTCACACCCTCACAGCTCCTACCAGATCTGCCCACCATGGTCACCTCCACCATGTCTATCTGCTCCAGTGACCTGAGCTATGACAGCCGGGTCTGCCTGCCCGGTTCCTGTGATTCTTGTACTGACTCCTCCTGGCAGGTGGATGACTGCCCAGAGAGCTGCTGTGAGCCCAGCTGCTGTGTCCCCAGCTGCTGCCAGCCCAGCTGCTGCCAGCCCAGCTGCTGTGTCCCCAGCTGCTGCCAGCCCAGCTGCTGCCAGCCCAGCTGCTGCCAGCCCAGCTGCTGTGCTCCAGTCCCCTGCCTGACCCTCATCTGCACCCCAGTGAGCTGTGTGTCCAGTCCCTGCTGCCAATCTGTCTGTACCAGCTCCTGCACACCCTCATGCTGCCAGCAGTCTAGCTGCCAGCCCTCATGCTGTACCTCCTCACCCTGCTGTGTGACCCTTTGCTGCAAGCCTGTCTGCTGCACACCCATCTGCTCTGGATCCTCCCCATGCTGCCAGCAGTCTAGCTGCCAGCCCTCATGCTGTCAATCCTCCTGCTGTGTGCCTGTCTGCTGCAAGCCTGTCTGCTGCACACCCATCTGCTCTGGATCCTCCTCATGCTGCCAGCAGTCTAGCTGCCAGCCCTCATGCTGTCAACCCTCCTGCTGTGTGCCTGTCTGCTGCAAGCCTGTGTGCTGCAAGCCCTGCTCCAGTGTGTCCCTGCTCTGCCGCCCTGTGTGCAGACCAGCCTGCTGTGTGCCCACCTCCTCCTGCTGTGCCTCCTCCTGCCAGCCCAGCTGCTGCAAGCCCTGCTCCAGCATGTCCCTGCTCTGCCGCCCTGTGTGCAGACCAGCCTGCTGTGTGCCCACCTCCTCCTGCTGTGCCTCCTCCTGCCAGCCCAGCTGCTGCAAGCCCTGCTCCAGCATGTCCCTGCTCTGCCGCCCTGCCTGCTCCAGCCAGGCCTGCTGTGGCCTCTCCTCGGGACAGAAGTCCAGCTGCTGATGGACTGGATCCCTCAGCCTTTGCAGGCTCTATGTTTGTTCTTAAGCAATTCTCCACTCTCGGGAACCCCTGGAAGCTTCCTGGGGCCACCAGAGTCGTCTCACTATGGACTGGGGGCTACACAATAGGGTTTGAAGGTGCCACCTGGCTCCTTCCCTTACAAATGCCTCCGTGATACACAGAGCAGCCCCAGGAGCCTGTTCTCTTGACCATGCACTCATGCCAGATGTGACAGGTCACTGCTGTGTTCAATAAAGTGTTCGTATCCAGAGCTGTGGGTTGGCTGTGTTCATTTTCTGGAATGTCCTGGATCTTCATTCCCATTCTACCATGGCCCTGGGTGCCTTGCCTGGTATCACTGGTTATTCAAATACTCCAAAGAGAATGACCATCCCCTGGGCTGCACCGCTCAGCTTTCTAGTGCATGACAAAATGCCTGAGGGAGTCAGTGTAGAAAGGAAAGCTTGGCTTGGGCTCACTGTTTCATCTGTGATCTGACATTGCTCCTGGGCCTGTGGCAAGACATGTGAGAATTGGAAGCAAGTGAGAGAGGAAGGAGCCAGTGTTCTTCAAAACATATCCCCAATGACCCAGCATTCCCCTACCAGCCCCAGCGCCCAGTGGCCCCACAGGTGGGGACCACGCCCACGCCTTTAGCACACAGCCCTTGAAGACATTCCAGCCCAAATGGTTATGAGGTCTCTCCTCTCTCTCTCCCTCTCTCCTTCCCCCCTTCTCCTCCGCTTCCTCCTCCTCTCCCTCTCCCTGAGACAAGGTAGCACTGGCTGTCCTAGAAATTGCTCTATAGACCAGGCTGGCCCTTGTCATAGGGTCTCTTTAAGGCACAGGGTGAAAAAGACTAGAGAGACTCCTGGAGGGTGACCCCTGCCCCACTGGCTCCTATTATGTGTCCCCATCCTCACATTGGCAGCACTATTTTGGGAGATTGTAGATCTTTAATAGATGGGACCTAGCTGGGAGATGGGCTACCTGTGAAGATGACACCTGATCCCCAGTTTGAGGCCTGTGAAAGACTGGCTCGTGAGAAAGACTTCTGTGAGAACTCTGGGTCCTATGTCCACACAGAGCTGCCCAGTGAAGTGTCCTTCTAGGTGCTTCTGGGAGGTCACAGAACCGTGGTCCAAGGGGGCAGGCAGCCATGCCAGCTGGCAACAACCTTGGTGTTTCAGGTATTCAGAATACAAATGTCATGGTGGCCACACCTTTCATCCCAGCACTCAGGAGCTGAGTTTGAGACCAGCCAGAGCTACACAGTGAGACTTCCACCCAGATTTCAAAGGAAAGCCTGAGAGGCCAGGAAGTGTGTGGTGACCGGGGTCACTCTATGCAGCCCCTGAGAAGTCATGAAGCTGTGAGAGTAAAACCAAGGAGGCAAGGAGGACCCTAGGTAGCTGGAGATGCCAAAAATGTGACACTCCTGCCGAGGACCAGCCACAGGCTGGATGGGCTACAAGCAGCATGGCTACAGAGGAGGTGATGCCTAAGCCCTTGTGCTCACATCACAGCCCTGCCTACCAGCCTGGCAGGGTTGCAGGAGTCAGTGTGGCCCTGCGGGGTTTGTCTTGCTTTTGTCTGACTTTGCCAGCTTTTCCACATCACTGCATATCAGAAGCACGTAAACTCGTTTCCTATTTTTCAGGAGCTATCTCAGACTGATGCTGTCTTGGTCTGACCCAACGGGGGGCTTTTGAACAAAGAGGGAACTGTGAAGGCTGTGGGGATCTGAAAGCCGTTGAGTCATGAGATGCCTAGGGCAGCATGTTCCTGTATGAGTATGAACTATCGCCCCCAGCCTTATGTCCCACTGCTTAGCCCCCAGGGGCCTGGTGGTGCTAATAGGTGATGCAATGGAAACTGGGGGAGGTAGGGGCTAGTTAGAGGGAAAAGGAGTGTGAGGGAGTGTGGCTTTAAAGTTGCTGTGTCATTCCTAGAGCCTGATTCCTCTGTCTGGAGGTAAATGTCGTCATCGGCAAGCCCCTACTATCTCGATGCTCTCTTCACCACTAGTCCAGAGTCAGCCAAGCCAAAGAATGAACCAAAACCTTTGCAACCACGAACTCAAATACATCTTTCCTCCATGAAGCTGATTCTGCCCACACTCATGGTAGAAGGAGAAGCAGATTGAGAAGAACTCACTTTACATTGCAAGTTCACAAGGCTGCAGGGCAAACCTTGGCAGTGGGGGAAGCATGTGACACTGCTGCCATTGTCACTAGACTGGGAACATCCACCACCTACAAAGTCATCCTCAGCTGCCCGGTAGCCAGAGACCACCCTCCCTGCAGTGTCTGTAGGGTGAGGGAGTGCCATGAAGTGTCACTGCTGGGCTCTGCTGGACTGGAGGCTCCTTGAAGGGGATGACAACACATGCCAGGGGCTTTCCATGGGATGCTGGGTTAGCGGGACCCCAGAGAGTGTGTCCCCCCACCTCCACCATGCTTGTAATACACAGAGTCCTTCACAGAAGTTCCTGAGTAACCACCTGCCACAGGCGAGTTGAATTGACCTGCCCTGTCCATATAGCTCCTGTTTCCCAACCTTCCTGGTTTCCAGTGTGCCAACAACCGACCGGCAGACATCTGAGCTAAGGCCTGGCAACTGTCCCCTCACCTTACCCCCTGAGCAGCCTCAGGAAGACACAAGTCTTGGACACTTGGCTCTGAACAGTAGCCTGTGAACAAGAGACAGTGGCTTTCTGTTGCTCCACATGGCCCCACAGCCAGCCTGGCTCCTATATCACCCCTGGTCTTCTAGTCTCCCACCTACCCCAGGGTTAGCTGGTTGTAGCCAGGAATACCAGGCCAAAGAAGATGAGTACACTCCAGGTTTCGGAAGGACCAAGGACTTGGTGGCTTCTAACATCACAGACTTCCAACAGCACAGCTGAGAAGGCTGCCCACCTGGAGAGGCTCTTCCTAGCTAATTGCAGGCATGGGCAAGGTCTCACCTGGAGGCTTGGTTCCGGGGTCCTTCAGCTTCAATTCCCGCCTACCCCTATTGTTCAGAGCCTCAGTGTCCTGCCACCTTCTCCAGTCACTCTCCTGCCTCCCTCAAATGATGTCCCTGTGGTGACACTGGGCCTCTACAAACCCCATGACAACTGCCCCTCTGTGAAGTCTCTATGTCCTGTGAGAACACAGACAGGTTGTATGAGCAGCTATTACTCTGCCCTGAATGAAGGCTTTCTTCGCTCATCTTTACAAGAGGAGGAGGGGGTTGGAGTGGTGGACATTCAAGTTTAATTCTTTGACTGAAGGGACTTTAGGACTCCAGTTTGTTGCTAAGTAGAGACCAATAATTACCTTCAGGGACCCAAGGATGAAGGGACAGATGAACCCCTATAACAGTCACCACACAATAGGGTTAGGGTGGTGGTTAGTATTGTCAACTAGACAGGATCTAGAATTATGATGAGCCTCTGAGCATGCCTGTGACACCAGTCCACAGTTGGAGGGACCATTCCCTAAGCTATACATGTGGAGAAAATAGCTGGGTATGGGCAGCATTCATCCCTCTGCTTTCTCAGACCAGCTTCTGGTCACTTGGCTTCCCCACCATAATGGACTGTACCTTGAACCATGAGCCAAAACAAACCTTTTCTTCATTAAGTTGCTTCTGTCAAGTGTTTTATCACAACAACTGAAGAGAAACCAAAACTAACTTCATGTTATGGGGTGATGGCATATGTTTAAAGTTTTTTGTAACCTGCCATCATGGCCTGAACACAATAGCTGGTGACACATATGCACACAGGCATACTGCTGCCAATAAAACTTTACTTACAAAGACAGGATTTAGACCAAATATAGCCTATAGACCCTAGCTTCCCAGCCTCTGTGACAAAGTTTTACATTTTATAATGGAAAGTTAAAATAAATAATAAAAGCTTTCATTGACAGTATGAAACGAATAAGAACAGGATCCTAAACTCAATCCATCCAGTGTCACTATGGGCTCAATAATGGCCCAAGAAACAGCAGCACAAAATGTATGTAAGCCAAACCAGAATATCCTGTTTGTGGATGGAGAAGTTGTTTATAGGGAGCGCAATTCAGGAAGATGCACCCCAGAATAACAAGTCACTGAAGAACAAGTAATAGAAACAACAGGCAGGAGACCAGCTGCATTATGGGTAGTTGGGACATAGGGCTGGGTATAAAAGCCACCCCTGGAAGGAACACCAGACATTCCCAACCTCCTCCAGACCAACCATCATCTGCCATCATGTGTCACACCAGTTATTCCTCAGGCCAGCCAGCCTGCAGTATGTCCAGCCCCTGCCAGCCAGCCTGTATGCCCTTGAGCTGCAGGCCTGCCATATGTGTTCCTGTGAGATGCCAGGTGACCTGCTGTGTGCCTGTGAGCTGTAGGCCCACTGTGTGCATGGCCCCCTCCTGCCAGTCGTCTGTGTGTGTGCCTGTGAGCTGCCGGCCTGTCTGTGTGACCTCCACCTGCCAGTCATCCGGATGCTGCCAGCCCCCCTGCCCCACCCTGGTCTACAGACCTGTCACCTGTGGCACCCCCTCCTGCTGCTGACCAGTG